GGCAGGCATTTCCTGGAATGTTTGAGGAACAGTGAGGGGCCCATCATGGTTAGGGGAAAACAAGCAAGGGGGTGAGGAGGAGGAGGAAGGTCAGAACAGTCTCACAGGCCTAGGGAAAGACTTCTGCAATACTCTAGTGAGCTGGGCAGCTCCTGGAGGGTGTTAAGCAGTGGGGTGACATGAAATGATTCTTGATTTAAAACATCACTCTGACTCCTATGGGGAGGATATTCTAGGGGAGGGTCAGAAGGGAGACTAGTTGGATAATATTTCATTCCCCACATATTCCCATCACCTACCACACAGCAGGAATCAAAGACATGTTGACTAATAAATGAATGTTGCACTAATCCAAGAGATGTTCCCCCTGAACATTCCGGGCCGCTAGAGGAGCCTACCCCTCTCCTGCCCCTAGTGCCACAGAGCACAGCCCCTCACTGGGACTATATAGATGAGAAGAGCAAGGTGACACCCACCTCTTTGTAGTCTGCATGGTGGGAGGAAGAAGGTGAAAAGGAGATGGGCAGAACTTTGACCTGCAGTCAGGTCAAGACCTGTGTAAGACTCCCCTGACCCAGTCTCATGTTAGAATCCAGTGGTCAGGAACCTGTGGGCTGGTGTGAAGAATCGTGGGAGATAATCATCCCTCATACACAGAATATTGTTTGAAGAGACATAAAATGACTTGTAGTGATCCAGAAGAGCTAGGATATGAGGGTAAGTTTCCTTGGCATTGTTTTGTTCTTAGAAAAATAGTCTCAAGGGCCTGGGTGGCTCAGTCAGTTAACATCCAGCTACAGCTCAGGTCATGTATTCACGGTCTGTGGGTTCGAGCCCCACATAGGGCTCTGTGCTGACAGCTCACAGCCTGGAGCCTGCTTTGGATTCTGTGTCTCCCTCTCTCTCTGCCCCTCCCCTGCTGTGCTCTGTCTCACTCTCTCAAAAATAAGTAAACCTTAAAAAAAATCTTTTTAATAATAATGTATATAATTTGATGTTTTTAGTACATTCGCAAGGTTGTGCAACCATCACTACAATCTTAGAACTTTTTAACTCATCCTAAAACAGGCAAAAAAGTCCATATACCCATTGGTGGTCAGCCCCCACTCCCCCTACCCTACCTCCAGTCCATGGCAACCATTCATCTACTTTCTGTCTCTGTGGATCTGCCTATTCTGGACATTTTGTATAAATGGAATCATACAGTATGTGGTCTTTGGTGACTGTCTTCTTTCATTCAGCATGTTCTCGGGTTCATTCACGTTGTCGCCTATGTCAGTATTTCTCTTCTTCTTATTGCCAAATATGTATTCCATTATAATGGTAGGCCACTTTTGGTTGTCCATTCATCAGTTGGTGGACATTTGGGCTTTTTCTGCTTTTTGGCTATTAGGAATATTGCTGCTGTCAGCATTCCTGAACTGTTTTGCTGTTTCGAGATGTGAATTCAGTCTGGTAAGATGAACATCCCTGCCACAGCTAAGATGTAACTGAGATCTTAATATTCATGTTCTGTGAGATAACAAGAGGGTCTAGAGACCACTGTCTCTGTGAGGCCCTGACAGGAAAAGTTCAAACCAAGATATTAATCTTCGATTTACAAGTTAGTTAAATTCAGCCATAGATCCATATAAGTACATAAGAGTTGTGGAAGGGGAAGAGAAGAATGCCAGAAACCCTCCTGAGCCTTCCACCCGCTTGCTTAGCCCCCACACTGGTGCGTATGCTCATGTAGGCACAAAATCCACACATTCTCTCCGCCTGCCTTCCTTTTGGTCCAGCTGTCCCAGCTTTCTGATTCAGAACCAAAGTTGATGGCAAGACCAACAACCAAAAAGAGGAAGCCCAGCGTCAGGGCCAGGGCCAGTACACAGCCATTGCTGCTAGGTTGGAAATACTGGAAGCCATCCGTGAGCCATTTGGAAATGTTAATTAGGCTGGCTAATTCCCACTGGTCTTGAGTTGCCAGTGTTGAGTTGAGCATGTAGGCTTACCCCATCCACGACTGCACCTGTTCCCTTCCTCAGAGCCATTCCAAGGGGTCTGAATAGCACAGACTGCTCTCTGATCTCCGGCTCTGTCCGCCTTCCTGCTGGGAGGATATTTAGCACTCGCCTAAAGCTGGAACCGTGGTCCGCTGTTTCTCTCCCCCAGCCATGCCAGCTCTCAAAATCATTCCCTTCCCTAATTATCTTGAACCAGTTAATCATTTTCCACACTGACTGTTCAGTAACAAGGACCCAGGGAGAAGCAGCCACTTTTCTTGTCTGACCCTGCCCAGTGTTATCCCAGGTGGCAGTCCCGGATGACAGCCTTTCCTCAGAGATAAGAAGCTCCATTCAAATCCTTGCTTTTTGGCTATCCCAGCGAGTCCCGCCAGAGAACACAGGCCACAAAAAGCCCCACCAGTTCTAGAAAAGCCTCCACTAGGCAGAGCTGTGTGGAACACAGCAGATCTCCAATCAAGACTATTGTGTCCTGTGTTTTATGAAATCCTTGTTGATATCCAGAGTATCCAAGAAGCCACACAAGGCCCAAGAAGTAAGACATTTTTCTCTAAAAGTGACTTCTGGGTTCTCTGAGCTCTGGCTCTGTGTCTGAGCTACTGAATGGCTGCAGTTTAGCCCTTGGTGTCAGGCAGATGTGTGGAGGGCTCTCTCCAGAGGGGTCCCACCCTGCTGTTCTTAGATGTCCAAATGCTACTCCAGAGTCCCCACACATGTAAGAAAACTTTGAATTTAATGCACATCTTAACCCTATCACCCAGTGTGGCTCAATGTCTTTTTCACTATGACCCCACCGTGGAGACCTTTGGATTTCCTAACTTGTCTCCTCCCCTCTGAAACACTCCACAAATAGTGTATATCTGTTTATTTACCATACCAGTACCTGGGCTTTCTTCATATAAAAAATATGATATTTTTGCTCCCCATTTAGAATGCAGGCCATAATTCCTCCACCAAAGCCCCCTACTGGCAGGAGCTTCATCTGCTTTGTTCACAGCTATAACCAAGAGACTGAAACAGAACCTGGCACATCTTAGGTGCTCAACTGATGAAAAGATGAAATAATCATGCTCTGTGTCTCTGTCCAATACCACTAAGCATCACATGCCTCCTGTCCTCATCCCCAAACACTGTGCTCTCTTCTGGTGCCTTCCAACGCTGCCCAGGCTAGTTGGTACCTCGCACTCACCCCCAGGGAGGTATCAGGAAGCTGACAGCCTATTCCTGTGTTCCATGTGTGGGCCCCCACCCTTTGGTAGCACTGCCTGTATGTCAAGGGCAAGTGACATTTGAGCCCCACGGAATAATTAAAGTAGCCCCCAACTGTCTCTGTCTTTGCATCTCCTTAACTCACCCATGGGCTGGCAGTTACTGAGACATTCTGTTTGGTCCAGCACACTACACCAGGCTGCATCTGGGGACACACTGGGGAGAGGAGCAAACCAGTCCTCATCAGCAATTACAAACAAGACTTCCATTGTTAGCTGCGCCATCTGTTTTCTTGGTACGCCCAGCATAACCAGGGCGGAAGGGCTGCAGGGGAGGGAGACCAAGGAGCCCCTTCCTGAAGAGACCCCATTTGCTTACCCTGGAAAGGGTAGGTAGTATGGTGCCCTGAAAAGCTGGGCCTCCCGAACTCAAGGAAGACAGACCTGCTGAGAGGTGTACATATGCCATCTTCCATGAGAGGAAATGGGGTGCCGCAGCACAGTGCATAGGGAGAAAACAGGAAATCTAGATAATCCTATTATGGAGGATCCAGGGAAAACATTCTAGTCTGTTACCAACAATCAACACACTCACAAGAGTCTCCAGTGCCCTAGAGCACAATCAATGTATAGAGAAGGAGCAGGTAACAGTGGTTGAAAGTAAAGTAAGACTGATCAACCACAATCAGTTATTTATCCTGAAATTCCAAACCCCAAATAATTTCGCTGGTGGTAGAGGCATTTTCAATAGATCATAGAAAGTACACATTTCTTCTGGAGATCCCCACCTAAGAGTATGTCAGTGGTCCTTCTGACAGCCTTCTGAACCACCATCTTAGAAAACTGGCCCTGATTCCTGTGCCAAACTTGGCAGGCGGGGTCAGCAGACAATCCAAGTTTATGACTGTGGCCGTGCAGACAACGATCCGTGTCACTGATGAATGTCCTTTGTCCAGATTTGATGGTGGTCAAGTGACACTGAATTCAGGATTGCTGTGGGGGTTGGGGTGAGGAGCTGTGCCTGGTGCAGAACGAGGCTGAGGATTTGCTGAGGGAAACCCCCCAAGGAAATAGGGTGCCTGTGGGAGGGATGGGAGAAGAGGATCGACAAGACCTGTCACAAAGTACGGTGAAACTCGGATCGTCTCTCGGGGTCAGCATGACTACTGAGATCCTCCAGCTCAGCTCTGTGAGTGAGGGAGAGCCCACTGTCCAATTTCACCACTGTGGGACCCCCTTCCCTGCCACCATCCGTACAGTATGCTGGGTGCTTCCTCCCTGGGGACCGTCCTATCACAAGTGACACTAGAACTGAGTTCACACACTATGTACACTCAGAAACCTATGCCATGAAACTAAGAGGCACGTAAATTTGCATGCTTAGAGGCTGTCAATTCATTTTTCAGGTCATCCACTGAATTCCCGATGCTCATCTTGAAAATTCTTACCTTTGACTGTATGTTAGACCAAATCCATCAGCAGATATGGGGCAATGGGAAAAGGAACACGGTGGTTAGTGCTGCTCTTTGTCTATAGAGCATCTATACAACACATCCTAGGAACACCACTGTCTCTTTCATTTCACATTTATAAATGTGACAGCAGCTAGGACTCTGCCCTGCCAAGTAGAATTTTTAGTGAGTTTTCAGTTGGTAATGATCTCCAAGCTATGACAACACTCAGCCAGCACAGGAATAAATGTCTTATTAGCACCACGTTCATTATCAAGTTGGGTTACAGATGTGCTGGGCTTGTATTCATTTGATTTTATGTTCTTTCCCTTCAGATTAAAATACATAAAGGTCTCATTGCCATGATTGAGCAAGGTAAGACTGACGCTTTGGATTTGCCCAACCACTGTGCTCTTGGGGAGGGAGGGTGTAAATTCACCACCCAGCCTCCTTCCGTGGCTAACACTGCACTCAAATGCCCCCCGAAGTTCCTGCTGCCCCCACCTCCCCTCCCGAGGGGCCCTGCCCACACTCTGCCCCTGCATGTCTGTGCTGCCCGGGGAAACCCAGCCTTGCCTTTCTTCTGCCAGTGCGCTCTGGGCGGAATCCGACACCAACACCTGCCGTCCCGGAACATGTCTTTGTCGCCCGCCCTTTTGTGTGCAGGGCCACAGGGAGCCAGTGGACCCAGGGCCGCCCCCTTTTTTGTTGCCCAAGCCAGGAGGAGCAGGATCTTGAGATGGGCCGATAAGATCTGGCACGTGCTGGGCCGGCCTTTGACCGCTTGCCTTAATGGGCGCCTCCGAGGCCTCGGTGCAGGGAGGGCAGGTCGTCTGGGGGGCTGCTGAATGGAACAGCTGGGGGAGGAAGAGCAGACAAAAGCTGGGGGCACACAGAGGGTGAGGAACCGGGGATGGGCTGCAGTGTAGGACCCAGAGGGCAAGCTGGCTTCAGCAGGTGTGACCTCTGCGGGCCTCTCCTTTCTGCCCTGGCTCTGGGGTCCAGGCCCTGCCCCGTGCTGCCTGTGGCAGTGCTGGCTGGGGGTGGCGTAGGCTTCACCGACTCATGGGCTCACAGGTGGAAGGGAGACCAGATGGTGACGATGATAACAGCAATAATACTGGAGGACACCAGCGAGCTGTCATTTATTAACCATATTGCCACAGTGGAACGCATGACACAGATGCCAGTCACTGTCTCGGGAAAATGCAGGTAGCATGTTAGCCTCAAGACTTCTGGGTTGATCTAAAACATCACCCTCCCTCACCTGTAGGCCAGACCCTCTGGCCCAGCTACCCTTTCTTTCTCCCTCTGCCACAGCTTTGGCCCAGTCCCAGAACTGTTCCAAACGGGGCCCAGTCGCTTGAGTCCCCAGAGGCAACACACCCCACAGACCCGGGTGCTCTTACTGAGTGGGGCAGAGTGGAAGTGTGCAGTCCTGTCCTGCAGAAGTCTTTATTTGCTGGGACCCTGTATCTATGCGGACCCTCCTGCTTCTGCCACAGAACGGTGAAGTGGGGCTCAAGTGTCCTTGGAACAGACCCCCGGCTTCCAGCAAGAGGAAGAGGCCAAATGAGTGGAGCGGCTGCCGGCAGCTTGCGAGTGGAATTATCTCCTTTGTGGCCTGCCGGCTCATTCCCCAGCTGCCGCCTCCCCATCAATCATGGGGTGCGGTGGGCATGGCAGGAGCCATCACAGGCTTGGGGTGTGCCAGGAGGAAGTTGGGGACTGGAGGAATGCAGGGGGCACTGCCGTGCAGGCTGCAGCGGGGGAGAGGCCTTCCCTGTGCCCCCAGCGGTTGGGGCCACTGCTTTCAGATGCACAGGGGCCACTTTGCCACAGAGCTTTATGTGGCTCCTCCAAGTCCGCCTGCCTGGCATCCCTCTGTCTGCCTGCTGTCCTGCCCAGCCACTGGAAGGCAGCGTGCATCCCCCACCCCGACCCCAGCTTGCCCTCCCTGGCTAGAGGGGTTCAATATTTCCTTTCTAATCCAGAACCACTCTTTCACTTAATAGCATATATTCAAGCACCATTTTATCTCTTTCATTCACTTGCTTTTTATGTTTTTCTTGCTCTCTCCCAATTGATCTGATTAGTATACTGGGTAGAGTGGTTCCTGGTGACTAATGTGAAATCTTAGACAATTGGAAGTGAAGGTATTTCAAAACAGAATATTATCTAGGATTGAATCAGGTTGTTCACCCCCATGTCCAGCTCCAAGGGGACGGGGAGAGACCTTTTACCAATGCCATCTCTGTCATGGAGAGCAGTATATCTGGGCTGCCTTTGTCAGAAGCAGCCTATTTTTAAAGATGAGACTAGCACGAGAAAGCCATGGGACATTTCCTCTCTCTGCCCAGCCTTACAGGGACCAGCAGGGAGGAGAGACAGTAAATCCCCTCAGTGGTGGGGGTCTTAAGGTGCTGGCATTGAGAACACCCCGGAGAAGGCTGTCTTCTCACAGCCATGCATGTTTGTTGAGCATTGGTTGTAGAGGCTAGAAATAATAAGATAAGGTCAAAAAATGAGAAAAGATGTCTGTGAGTAAGACAACTTATATAAATTAATTTCCAATGCCAATAATAATGAGAATTTCAAAGCCCAAACCCCTATAAGTGGAGCATGCTGGGAGGACGATAAAAAGCCTGCTTCTGAAGTTTGTTCGAAGCCCGGAAGCTTGGGGTATAATACAACAGGACTTAAAAATAGCTTATGGGGGGAAGAGGGGTGATGAAAGATCCTCTCCCTCGCAGAACTGCCCCAGGGGAGGGCAGGCTCCAGCAGCAACAGTGGCTGGGTATTGCAGCAGGCATTCCTGGATTCCTCTGAGCACGCTCACATCCACCCTGGGGAGGGGAAGAGAGGTGCAGACTTGCAGGCTTTTGAGTTTACTCCTTTTCCCTCCAGTGCTAAATAGCACTAAGCTCATCTGGACTCATTCATGCAAGCAACCTAGTACTGACCGCTCCCCCAGACCTTTGGGGAGTAATCGAGTTGTAACTCATCAGGTGAAATATCAATGTATAAATACGTGTAAATAATAACATGGGCAGGGATCCCCAAAGCTGTCCATCATGTTTTACTTGCTTCTTCATTGACTCTGGGCAATGCTGCTGCTTCATTGGCTCCTCTTTGTTTTATTGCAATCAGATGCCTTTTCTCTTCATTCTTTATGTGTGGATTGGACAGTGAGGCCAAGTGGATTCTGAAAAGATTTTTCGCTTTTTTTATGCTGCAGGAAAGTCCAGAGCAAAGGCCCGGAGGAAAGACATTCACATGTCGAATTGTTCACCAAATATCTCTACACTGGTGACACAGGGAGGTCATCTGAGCCCCTTTCTGGGGACATGGTTCCACATGTTCTGAGTGCCACAAGTCCTTCTTGAATCTGTGCTCACGAGGGTGCCATGACTTGGCCTCTCTCTGCTTTCTTTGCAGGGCCCTGGCCACTAGCCTGAGTGCCTACCTCATGGCGCCTTTTGACAAAGAGGAGATGAATGAGACTTCCCTATTCCCCCACCCCGGACCCCCAAACTCAGAGACTCCAGAAACCATCACTGCTCTGTTAGTGCTCTCCACACATCTTCCCATTAACAGACTTCCGAAATTGAAGATGAACCCACTGAAATGTTGAAGGTTGGACTTTCTCACTCAGCTGTGCCGTCTTGCCCTAGAACCTCATGAAACTTGGGCTTCCAAAGAAGAAAAAGGGAAAATCACCAACAGCCAGAGACAAACCCATGCTTGTGGGCATTAGTGTGGCTGCTCCCGGGCAGGGACAGCAGGAGAAGATGCTGGGCATTGAGGGAAGGGGTGGGGGCAACTGGTTTCTGTACTCCCGAGTTGTTTCCTCTCATTTATAAACCCAAGTATGATTCACAGAAGGGCCAGCAAAATAGCTGTCAAACTGAGGAATTTTCTTAGCATTGATTTCACTAGTTCTTATGTTAGGATTTATGGTTTACTCAAAAATTTCGTCATCATGGAAATTGGCTTTCCCTAGGGTCTTTTGCCCACAGGAGAAGTTTTATCTGAGTTGCTGAGTGTTTTCCACCTGGTGCCTGATGCCCACTAACCAGGGAGAGGTTTTCCCAACCATCCTCCTGAAGGACCTCAGACGACTCTAGAAACAGGGTCCTGTCCCTATGAAAGCTCCTTACAGTCAGGAAGCTTCCTGGGCCCAGCTTAGAAGAGCACCACGTTGACACACAGGCATGCCCCCATGCACGCACTCAACTGAGACGGGCTCCCCCCAACAACGTCCATCAGCCTCCAGAAGCTTCGCCCTGCAATTGTGCTCGCCTGCCCGCTGCTGAGAGAGGGCCATGGCACAATGGGTGCTTTCTACACATTTGGCTCCAAGAAAGGCACGTTGAGCCTGTTTAAAAAAAAAGAAATGAAAAGCCCCACCTTCCATCTGCATTTGCCCAGCATTCTTGCTGGGGGTTTGAGGGTGTCAGCAACAGAAAAATCAGTCAGTTCGGATGACCTATTTGGTCCTCTGCCTCTCACCTAGGTCTACAGCCTGTCTCCAGAGTAAGCCTGGGACTCAGAACAGGGGTGCAGCAGCCGCAGAGGCCCAGAGAAAGATCAGCCATATGAGGGTGCTTCCCTGCCTCCCTTGACACTCTTCCTGTCTGCTGTTGTGTCCACTTGTGTTACCCCCAATGGCTGTGGTCACCTTCATGGGGAGTCCTCCAAGCCCCCTCTCTCCATCAGAGTGGCCATTTTCACTGAACAGTCAGTTCTCTCCATCAGCCATTGGCGTGGTTTGGCTGGAACCCAACCCTTGCAGGAGAAACAAGCAGGCACAGGAGTCAGACTTCCTTCTGGGACAATGAGGAAGGATTGAGAAATTCCTACTCAAAGGATAGACTTCCTAATTCTAGAGAGAATTTGCATTTTGGCTTTGTAGAAGACCATAAGTAGGGCATGAGTTCCAGGCCCACAGATGGAAGCAGCCTGGACGTCACCCGAACCTGAGAAAAACAGAAGTAAGCCTCAGTCACTGGGGGCTGTTCTGCAAACAGGTCCAATTGGTTCACTCACTCTGGGCTTAATGGCACTATTGAGGGTGACTGGAAGTCATGGCATTTTCTGTTGTGTGGGCAAATGCCACCATTCTTATCTTTCCCACTCCTGCCCCACCCCCATACCTGTGTAATGATTTGGGCTTTCTGGTCGGCATGGCTTGTCTCCGATCACCCAGACTCAAGACTTGTGCTGAGCTGCTTCACTGGATATTTACCAAGTGCCCAGACCTCATTCCTGCGGGGAAGGGCATCACATGTTCCTGGGCTCCACAGTCCCAGTTAGGCTCTGACAGCAAGTCGTTTCTGGGAGAACATTTCATTTCCAGGATCTAGAAACCCCCTGTTGCAGAATGCTTGGATTCAGTTGATGTGTCAAGACTTGGGAGTCACATTGAACTCCAGTGGACTTCTGCTCCAGGCTTCCATCTTACCTCCTGGAATCAGTCCCCCTAACCTGCAAGTGGGAAATTCAGTTGTAGGCAGCAAATAACTAGAGTTCTTATAATCCCTACTGATTTTAACATCTCCATGACCCCAGATTCCAGCCAGCTGTCTGGGGGCTGGGGCTTCATCTGAACCCACTGTTGTCAGCAACAGCCTTGGTTTGGAATAGGGGACCAGGGAATCTAGCAACCAGCTTTGCTTACAATCACGTGAATTTGAATCGCTCTTGTTATTTGGGGTGGAAAATTGAAATGATCAAGTTCTTTTTTTTTTCACTTAGAAAAGCAAATATTGTGCTTTTGCAATAAATCCCTTTCAGCAAAATTGTGGAGGGTCATTCATCCGGTGGGAACCCACCTGAGTCACAGAGCTGACTCATCACATTAGCAGGTCAGCCATCTGTACGTGAAAGTGGCCCTAAGCGGCCCAAAATGGATAAGATTTGCTGGCTTCCAGGCAGGGCCAGGCCAGTCCCCTCACTTCTCTGTACAGTGATTTCCGTCCAAAGCAAAGCTGATGTTCCGCAGTCTCACTGAGGTTTTTGTACTTTAAAAAAAAAATGATGACTTTTTAAAAATAGTAAAATCTTAAGTAGACCATAGTGAGGAAACCTAGGTTGGGTAAGTGACTGTCACAGTGTCTTCATACTGTGAAGCCTGCAGCTGCTAAGAGCCACAGGGAGGGAGGGGACTTAAGCCTTGACTTCACAAGAGGGGCTGACTGATCAGACCCTCAGCCTTACAAACAAGAGGTCAAGCGGATCCATAGACAATGCAAATCACGTCTTCCTGACCTTCCTCCCGGTGTGGCCACCTGCACTTCACTTCCTGTTACATTTGTGTCATCTGGAGGTTTGAGGGATCCTTTAAAACTTACTGTGACGTCTTAACATGTAAGTACATTATGTCTATATCCATTAAGGGAAAATGTCCGCATCAGGAGGGAAATTCACCATGAAATAACCATCGTTCTAGTTATGCTCAGTATCTGTGTATGACATACACATGAAGTGAATGTTTTCTTATGGTTTCAGGTCTACAACATTTAGTACATGTAAATAAGAAAAAATGATAAATACAGTAAATTAAGTTATAATATGTCATTTGATTTTTATTTTGCTATCTCATATTTAATTTGCCCAATGCCCCACATCTGGGTTTATGCCTAGGTGGTATAGACCCCTACCTACAACCCACCTTTGCAGATACATGTGTGCCACACCTGGAAAAGCACACAGCTCCACTGATGACCACCACTCGACTCTCCAGTTTACACTCTTTTTGTCTTTAATTATGATTTACTGTGATGATTTAATAAAGTAGAAACACAACACTTATGTGCCATGTTTCTTTTGTTTTCATTATCATTTCTAGGAAAATAAAGTTTATCCTGGCATCTAACAAAAGATGGCTTGCTTTTTTATCAAAGTTCCTCAAAATCATCATTGTTTTTTTTTAATGTTTTATTTATTTCTAGGAGAGAGAGAGAGAGAGACAGCATGAGCAGGGGAGGGTCAGAGAGAGAGGGAGTCACAGACTCAAACAGGCTCCAGGCTCTGAGCTGGCAGTCAGCACAGAGCCCGACGTGGGGCTCGAACCCACGAACCGCGAGACCGTGACCTAAGCGAAAGTCGGACGCCCAACCGACTAAGCCACCCAGGCGCCCCAGAAAATCATCATTTTTTAAACCAAAGCCGAATTATGTATCCAAAATGGTAGCTAGTACCAATCCAGGGAAGTTTAAAAATGTTTTTATGTAAAATTGACCTCTTGGTCAGTCAGGAATCCCTGGCTCTTATGAGCCAAGAGGCCAACTATGAGAGTTTGTCTTTGTGAATAAATGACAAATAAAATGTAATTACCAGCCTCCTGTTGACATGGCTGAAGCCATGGTGATGGCCCTCAGGGCTTCAACTGTCACATTCTGAGGCCTGACCCAGTGGTCTCTACCAGTTTTATGAGCTACTCCCATGCTCTGGTGGCCAGGGAACTTTCAACATCCTGGACAGTCAAACTGTCTAAAATTCATTCTTTGGTCCACTTAACAAATAGGTATTGAGTACCTATTACTTACGAGACATTTCAGTGACCTCAAAAAGGGTCCAGGTGCCTTCCCAGGAGTCAAGAAGATCCTGAATTGATGTAGCTCTTTAAAGTCTTGGACTGGTAGCAAATGCTTTTACCTCATGGTAAAACGGTACCTCATGGTATGCAGCTTGATGCAGAGTTTTAGAGCTTTGCTCCTAGAAGCAGTGGTTCGAGCCTTGTCGTGTATTCAAATCATGCAGGAAGTTGCGTAAGATGTTTCCCATCCCCCACCTAGATTCTGATCCACCACATCTGGGTAGAGCCCCAGCATCTAATTTTTAAAGTTCTCACCCGCTCAAGGATCCCGACCTGCAGGTAGATTTTGATTGAGCTGCTTGGACGAGCCGCATTTGTGATGCTTTGGATAGCCCTTACTCCCCATTCTGCATGTGTACCCTGGAGTGAGAGAAGGTGAGCAAAGATTCCCGAGGAACTGCTCAGTGTAGTGTCCTGCCTTTCCTAGTGATTCCACTTTGTAGATGGCCCCAGTTCTCTCCAGGATGAATTATGGATTCTTTTCAAATCTGGAAACAGTCATTTGAATTTCACAGGATATTGTTATAAAAGTCTCATAAAGCAGTTTATTGTCTTATTCATAACAAAAAGATGAGGTAGGGGTGTGGGGAGGGTGTTCCAGTCATCATACAACCACATTTTCAAAAACTACTCATCAAATCTTAGGCCAGATCATGCAAGACCTTCAGTAGAATTCCAAAAAGAATCCAACTTCCAGAGGTTCCAAAAGGACCATTGCTGCAAGTAACGCTCTCCTCCACCTTTCTGGGATTTTGCCAGGTGCCAGAATTTAAAGAAAAAATACCCTTCAGGTACACTCTGGCCATAGTAAAATACTCTGGGTATTATAGGGAAAATGCCAGCATTTTTACATTTGCTGCAGTACAGGGTATCTCTCAGCAAGAAGACTCATACATTTATATTTGGTCACGTCTGTACATATTTGAGCTAGGTTCTAGACCTGTATATGTGTAGAAACCAAATTGAGGCCACTTGGATTTATTAAACAGTTTATGTCAAGAGAAACTATTATCATTTGTTCTTTGTATAAATGGAAACGGTTTGTAATGCATTTCAAGTCAAAAAGCTAATAAGATCATGGAGATGGAACACAGCATAAACTACATCCCTGTGTATCTGGTCTACCCAGGACTATCTGCTAGACTTTCTCCCACACTCCCACCACCTCCTTCTGCAGCTACTGAACCTGAGGCCCAAAGATGGCTCCCTGGGGTTCACACAGCTAGAAAGTGGGGGTCCAAGAAAAGGCTAGGTTTCCTAGGCCCTATTCTTTGACAACATCCCCAATCAGTAGCAGTCACTTTTCTTCATCAGTGAATGGACTGTTGGTAGTTTCCATGTTCCTTCTGGCTATGGTGAAGGTTTCCCTGAGGCCACCCTGACCTTTCTCTCATTTGGACCAGGAACAACACAAACCAGGGTCTTCCAGAATTGGAGAGCTTGTTTTATTGGAATATTCTCCCAAAGGACAAAGAAAATGATGCTATTATTGACCTTTCTCTATTATTCTGGAAGCTTTTCGATAATATGTATCTGGAAAGAAAAATTGTGTATGTTTTCAGATCTGAAAAACAGTCTGTGGCAAAGAACCAGGAGAATAGGCCATACATGGTGATGCCACACTCCAGGATGTCCCCCTGTGCTCTGTACACACAGATCCACAGAGTGATTTAGCTCTGGCAACAGTTTGGCCACAATATTCTGTTCATTCTTCTTCCTGAGAAAATTTTTATGTTTCAGGACTTAAGAAGGTAAAGACACTGGGGCTCCTGGGAGGTTCAGTTGGTTAATCGTCCGACTTCAGCTCAGGTCATGATCTCACAGTCTGTGGGTTCGAGCCCCACGTCAGGCTCTGTGCTGACAGCTCAGAGCCTGGAGCCTGCTTCAGATTCTGTGTCTCCCTCTCTCTCTGCCCCTTACCCACTTGCTCTCTATCTCTGTCTCTCAAAGACATTAAAAATTTAAAAGAAGAAGAAGAAGGTAAAGACACATCAGTGTCCTTACAAAGAGCCCCAAAGACTGCCCTTGAATGGAATGAAAAGAGACTTACTCCCAAAACTGAAGTCAGAGTCTCTTTGCCCACTGCCTACTGCAGTTTAAACCACGTCTTCACCCCTGGACAACATAGCAAGCCCAGCTGACAGCCCCAGGAATCAGGGGCATTTTAAACAAGGGTAACAGTCTCTCTGCCCCAAATACGCTCTCACATTTGCCCTCCCAAACTAGCAGATGACAGCAGCCAAAACAGCAGGAACTCTGAAATGATACTCTTTCTGAGTCATACAAAAGAATTTTCTAGAATTGGAGATTGCTTCTTTTTGTTGTTATCATTTTCAATTAAAAGTACTTTGAATACCCAAGTCTCCACTGTCCTAAATTAAATTGGATAAGATGAAAGGAGTGAGAATTTATAACAAGCTGTCGTGTTAAGAAATATTTGTCTGGAAGATTCTGCCTCTTACTTAGGAAGTCCCAGTTAACATCCTCCCTTTTAAACTGTATCTGACAAGAAAAACACTGACTAGATTTTTTTTTTTTTTTACATTCACACCAAGATATTCCTGCCTCAGATATCAGAGGACATTGTGTATGTAATCAAAAATTCTATTTAAAACGTTATTTGAAGACATAAAGAATAAATGAATAAAATTCTTTCCAGGACAAGAGTTCCCTTTCCCTATGTGTCCAGTGGTAATTTTTAATCTTCCACTTTTACGTACCACCTGTCCCTCTAGTAAAATGCTTGTTGAGTTTGACAGAGAATATTTTACATAAAGAGGTCACACTTGTCAGCTTCCACCTTGACGTGAGGTCCTGGGAGTCTGAAAATTGGAGTGTGCCTCTCACCGAGGGTGTGAAGTGGGAAGGGGCTTGCTATTATAGCTCCTGAAAGGATCTTTTTGACTTCAGAAAATAGCCTGGCAAAGAAAAGCTTTTTTTTTCCCCCATGAATACTCAGGGACTGCATTATGCTCCTGAGATGGTGGAGGTGAGTACTTTTGATCAATATTCCCTGAGAAATGGCCGCCGGGCTAAGTGCAGGCAGAGGGCCTCAATAACAGATCTCCCTCCCGCCAAGCCTACAGAGCATTTGCCGCAAATCTTCCGTGAACAGTTTGAACCAGCAAGGGCTGCACATTAATGGCATCA